ATAAAGTTATGTTAGGATGTTCACACTATGTAGTAATTTATCATTGTATTCAATAAAATTTGGACAAATATATACTTTTGTATTGGGTTATGTTAAGATGCTCACACTATGTAGTAATTTATCATTGTATTCAACAAAATTTGGGTAAATATATATCTTTGTTTTGTATATGGAGTTTTTTTTAGTAAGCGTATTTTTTGTCATTAGAAGGGGTGTGATGTCATCGACATGGTGTGTGACATCACCCACATGAAGCATTAAATGCGACTAGTGTGCTCCATGTGGGTGTATGTGGATGATATCATAACTCTCTTAATGACCAAAAATACCTCTATTAAAAAATATTTTATATAAAAACAAGGGTACAGAAGTGTTCAAAATTTGTTGATTACCATGATAACTTACTTCATAGTGTGAGCACATCAACATAAACTTTATATATATATATATATATATTGGAAGATGCTATGGTATTCCGATTCGTGTATCCCTATAGTAAACGTCAAACGGCTCAGATCGAATCTGGGTTGATCTGACCATCACGGACGTACGGTAGTGTTTTATTTTTAATTTTTTTTTTACAAATCGGAATGATATCAAATTTGGAGCGTGTATTCATAAAAAATAAGAAAATCTACGAAAATATCAAAACAATATTTTACATGAAATAAGTTGATCAAAATACCCCTGAAAAGCTTTAAGGGTATTTTGGTCAAAAATATTTTAGAATTATTTTTTATATTTTTATTAGGTGCGTTTCATACACGGTCCAAATTTCAAATCATTGGAATTTGTAGAAAAAAAATTTGAAATTCAAACACTCTCAGACAATCGTGACCGTCAAATCGGCCCAGATTCAATCTTGGCCTTTGGGCATTTACTGTAGCGGTACGCACAAGGGCATACATAAATTTTTTTAATATATATATATATATATATATCTGTGTGTGTGTGCGTGAAACCTTTAAAAACACATAGGCGAAATGCGGCAGTGTTTTCGCCGCACAATGGCCCTACGAGAGCCGTTGCGGCTTTTCCTGTGAAGTCCCGTTTTTTTCGCATGAAAAATCGACCGCATACATAGTAGAGCTGTTGTGGTTGATTTATCCATGCTGTCTGAAAAAATCTGACGGCACCAAGCCTGTAGGCGATATTTATATAAAAGGTGTGGTTTGTGTAAGGTCGAGGCCCTAAACCATCAAAATAAGGCATGCCTTTAAATAGTATTGAAAGGTGAAGTTTTAATACTGGAAATCGTTGTGATCGTCTAGGAATTTATTTTCATCTCTAAATATAGAATTTAAAGCTTCAAAAATAGTGAAGAGCGAGCAAATCTATGAATACTTGAAAATTTCAAAAATTGATCTCATTTTTCACATGTCCATATATTTTGAGGTTGAGATAATCGGATTGTTTAGTATCAAAATAATCTCTTCGCCTTAATTTGCTTAGGGCCTCACCTTATATAAACTTTTTCCATATACGAAAGAGGACCTCAAAAGTGATTCAAATTGGTTCCGTCTCCATATTTCTCTGCTGCTCATCCATTTGATGGACCGGCAGATCTGAGGTATGAGGTACTCAAAATTATTATCGTTTTCATGAAATTGATCACTGGGTGAATCTCAAAACATATTTTGATCCGGTGATCAAATTTATAGTATGTTTCCCCATGGCCACACGATAGAGAGCCTATTTTTATATGACTTCGCTTTGTCGATGAAGATTAGGTGGATGATAGCGTCTAAATTTATACAAGTTGGCGCTGTGCTTGGCTTGTAAAAGGAAAAGCAGAGGGGAAATTACCAACATTTTGTCCATCACAGTCCAAGATATTGATTTGACGATGATAATCCTATTAGCTGTTTTATTGTATGATTGATCGTATAGATCATGTATTATATTTGAGCGCAAATCGCATGCTCCAGCAGGAGCATAATGTATAACAACTCTCTTGGGCAAGTGAGCTACCGGATAGGATTTTTTTATTCCGAAATTTTGGGATCCATATATCACCAGATGATTAATTTAAAAAAAAAGAAAATTGGATTTGAGTTCTTGAACACCTCGATCTTGCCCTTCAAAAATTAGACGGTTCTTGTTCAATCTTGAAATGTTATCATTTTGTGGGTACCTAAAAGAGTGTATGTAAAAATATTAAAATTGAATTACTCAATTATGCTCTCAACCATTTGATCAAAACCAGGTGGTTGAAATTAATAATGTTTTAGGTGAACTATAATGTTAAATTTTAGTGTTGTTTTTATCGTTCTATATTTTAAAAATATTCTTTTTTGAGCAATGATATCATATTTTCATAGAACCATATTGTACAACAATTTCAAAATATTCTTTTTTGGGCCACTAAAACCAAATTCGTCCCAGAAGTGGAGTTGACATGTATCGGAAGTCTCTATATATTTTCTTCTCATTTACCTTTGATACAAAATGGTCACAATTAATCTTAACCATTGGATGTGAAATTGAATGGCTGCATTTATTTTATTGACCAAACTCAGAGTTTAAAAGAATTTTTTTCGAACTTTGTGACACACCCAACCTATCACATTTCATATCGGATGGTTGTAAATAATTGTGACCTCCCTAAGCTATCATATTTCATATCGGATGGTTGTAAATAATTGTGAACACCATATACCAAAGGTAAATGATCTCATTGTATACAATCCATTTCTTTTAGGGTGCAGTTTGCATACGGACGCATCCGTAGGTATAGAGATAAGGTGCACCTTCAAATTTTATCATCGTATATAATTTTGATGTAAAATGTTCTTAGGATTATCTCAAAATCTATTTTTTCATTTAATTAAAAAATTTTAAATTTCAAAAACTGTTAAAATCAAGTAGATCTATAAACATATGAAAATCTTGAATATGGACGGTGTAAAAAATATGTTGTAAAATGCATTATTTTTTAGGCTTAAAATCTTTTTATTTTTTATAGTCATATATGTCGACGTCGAGATGATCAATTAACAACATTAAAACTACTTTTTCTGATAGATTTAGAGAGGCATCCGTAGTTCTACATTATAAGGTAGAAAACTTTTTTCTTTCTTTTATATATTCCGAGAGGAAAAATGTATGTACGAAAGGTATTGAGGTGGGTAAAAGCGGTTAATGCCAACCAGGTCTTGGCGTGATTCTTTATACCATCGAAAAGGAAACCGATAGGACTGAGGATTTTGTAGAGTAAAAGAAGCATTGCCACCAGGGCTGCCGACAGGCTGGTGCTCGCCCACGGGCTTTTGGGTTGGGCGCAGGCCGGACAAATGGACGCGTCCCCATGTACAGGCTTGAGTTGGGCCTTGAAGACCGATGCCCAATAGCCCTGGCCAGGAAAATTTATAGATACCACCTTTTAGGCATGCCACCCCTTTGTAAATCACACTCCTGGCCTCAAAACTTTTCATAGTTGCAACCAGCGTTTTAAAAAACGTCGAGTCGAACCAGACTCGCCCGGTTCGACTCGGAAATCGTGAAAAGGAGACCAGATAGCCTAAAAAATCGGAAATCGTCCTGTTCTAGAGAGAACCGGACGATTCTGTACAGTGAATCGCCGATTCACTGTACGGAATCGGCCCGTACAGTGAATCAGCGAGTCCGTACGGATTTTTTTTTTTTTTTTGTTTGTTTGTAAT